TGTATAGTTCAACTTCTACAGTGTTCTCTTGGTTAGCAAATTATAAACATGTTCCGTCGTTAGCTACTCTTCATTGTGTGAGCACCCACTGTTCAGGTTGCGCCGGCTGTATCGGTCAATGATCTCACGTTACATGTAATTAATGTCACATTCTAACGCTTGAATGTGTACATCGGTGTCTTCTGAACGTTTGGTCTTGGAATTTTGAAATCCTCCTTAAATAAAAAAATGAATACATGCAGACATAATTTTATACAAAAATTCCCAAAATACATTTGAAACCCGATCACAAGCAGATTCTACGGTATGTGAACGAAGAAAATATTGTATTTGTATATTCACACCATAAAATAAGATGATAAAAATGTATACTTAAGTATGCTGCAATTCAATTTTTTCATAAATTGAGAAAGCTGTAAAGAACACTGCTGTTGTTTAATACATGTACATGGAAAGATATTAACAAATCAAATAACACATATTATATCAATGACATAGGCCAAATAATTTCAAAACACTAGCAACAACCATAAACTGTACATACCTTTATTGAGAGGTTACTAACGCTGCCCCGGCCACTCATCGTACGTACATCGAGGTCGCTACTCCCTAGCCGCTGTACGTTCTGATAAACGTGTGAAGTGTCACCACGATCATAGGGCGATGGTAAACGATCCATACGGTCACTATTCAAGTCGCGACCCCCTTTTCTCCGCAGTGCGTTCTGATATACATGTGTGTCGCCATGTTTAGAGGGAGGGGATATGCGGGGGGATATGTACCCATCACTTCCTTTCCATGAGGGATTCTTAAATTGCTGTAATGAATGGAAAATAGATATTTAGGTGGGCCGAGAACCCTTGTATGTCATAATTCGACATGTTAAGCTACATACTCTCCCCTCCATAAGTTTGGCAACATTAACTCCCCCATTGAACTACGTGTTAAAGCCTCTTTTCTTTACCTTTGGCTTTTTATTTACTTAACCTGCAATGAAAATACTTAATATACTATTGATGGGAACGTAATTTGACTTTATTTCAAATACCTCCAATTTTTTTCAATTTTTTTCCTCAATTACAATAAGTCGAAAATTGATGATAAATTTGATGAATTTTTGAAAATCGACATTCCCATGTAATTCCCAAACAAAGAATAGAAAATTGAAAATTGAATTGTATAACTTTTTGGGACACTAAGTGCTTAGTTTATTTGATGAATACTTAAGTTTTAGCGCTTCGAAGTCATTTTTGAAAATAATTTATCTCCTCTTGTGTTATTTCAATGGGAGGGTTTTTATGGAAAAAAATTTGACTTTGAAGCTTAATAACTTTGTTTAACCTGAAAAAAATATCAATTTTTGTTAAATAAAGTTAGCAAATTCAATTGCCTGCCTAACTCGTATTTTTGCAAGGACTCGGATCAATGGATATTAGAGAGGTTTCGCAAAACGAATTAGCTAAAACGTATCCGCATCCGTATCTCGTTACGTTTACGGATACGTATTTCGATAATTTTCGTTTCGCAGTTCGTTTTTGAAGTACTTAATTATTAACGCATCTCAATCCGTGTTTAATAGTAGTGAAAACTAGGGTCAAATAAAAGGCTTCATCTGCACTAAGATTTCAAAACACCATTGTGAGTGTCAGCTTTCAGAATCACAACTCCAAAAGTATTTTTGGTGAGTGCAAAAATACATATTAACCCTTTCATCCCTAAGATGTCATTTATTAATTTCATGACATCAATTTCAAAATGAAGAATATCCTTTAGGCCAGAAAAGATTATTTCTAGGTTTACAATAACGAATTCAGTGTCAAATTATACTTTTGGGAATATTTAAGGGTTTGAAAACATACGTGCAGTGACTGCATTATGCCACAAAATGCATAAACATTTCTACAATCACTTGCCATACTGCACATGGACCTTTATTTCATGTTTTTGCAGCTGTATATTTTGGTAATAATTCAAGATCAAATAAGTAAAAAAATGGCCATTTTGGGCAAGGCCAAGGCATTCGGAAACCATACGTTTTCACATAAGCCTCATACATGGGTTTTAGTTGAAAACCCATGCCTCATATAAACTAAGGAGGGGAGCAAAGTAACATATTTGATCATAGAAAGCGACACAAATATATCATTTATGCAATAAAAGTATGTTTTGTATGAGAAATCAACAAAAAATATATTATGTTAAAAGATAAATTAGCATTGTTTTTCTTGGATTCATTGAACAACAGGGGACCAGCTCATCAGAGAACGACGCGAAGCTAACGCCAATCATACCAGTTGAATATCTCACCATCATAATACCCTATATCTCCTCTGGGGTCTACAGATAATCAACTGATAAACCAACAACATAATACCCTTAACCGGCCATTTGTTTCTTAACCCAATACACACCACAACCTGATCGGACACAGCCCACAACTCGACATAACCTATTTTAACCAAACACAACCTAGATCACCAATCATGCAACAGTACAATAGAACATAACCCAGTCTCAAAATACACAGAACGCAATAGAGCATAACCCAGCACCAAAGCCAGCATAGCGCAACCTGACTTACAACCACCAAAACACAACCAACTGTCAGATTAACACAATATGTCACAACCCAATAATAAGACAACAAAGACAAACACAACCAATTGTTGAATTAACTCAACACAATTGTGCACAATCCAACATTAAACAATAAAAACACAATCAGGCATAACCAATAAAACACAACTAAACTAACAACCATGAAAACACATCGAACTGTGAAATTATCACCACACAATTTGGCACAACCCAATGGTAAACCAACAAAAGCAAACACAGCCCATTGTTCAAGTAGCACAACAAAAATTTTCAAAACCCAAAACCAAACAATCAAAACAAAATCAGGCACAGGCAAAAAAACACATTAAAATTGTAATACCGAGATACACAACTAATTTAACCCAATTGGAGACAACGCCAATCACACAACACAATCAAACACAACAAGATACCTCACCCGAGTAGCCACAACCAGCTAGCCAACCAACATAACATATTCACAAGAGAAAGCAACCCATTATAAGATTAACATAACACAATGGGACACAACCCGATACTAAATCACCAGACTAACAACCATCAAAAGAGAACCGAGTCTCAAACGTACACAACACAATTCGGCAAAACCTATACCTACTTGACACTAACCCACCATTACATAACCAGGCTTAACCAAATACTCAATCGATTTACTCAACCCATCAAAACACAATCAGGCACAACCAATTAACCACAAAGAAATATGTACTTGAATTACACCCCCCCCCTTCCCTATCATCACAAGGCTGCTAATGAAGAACACATCATGGACACTGGCCAAGAGTTAGGAACATCTGGGGCCCCTACCGTGACTCATATGTAAGAGAGAAGATCCGTTACAGGATCTGGATGTCAGGCCTGTCTTTACAAAAATGAAAATAGGAAATGATTCGCCAATATCATCATCCTAGGATCAAAGAAATATACTCTACCTGTTACATAATCACTGACGGTGGTTCGGGGACACTAGTCTCCCTGGACCCCCAAACGAGGCCGCTTACTATTTGACATAGATTGCATGACTTGATGCGTGTTCAAGTCATACCACGGGAAGAAGCTACCTGGCTAGACATTTTTTTCAAAATCATTCAGTTTTTCATCACACTGAGCACTTTTCGGGAGTTTTAAGCCAAAAAGCTCCCTCTTGCCACAAGCTGGATACGGGCAAGAGTGATGCGGGGCGCCATCTTTAGACCCAATATCACATTCATTGTCGAGGTCAGGACCAAGCTACTATACTCAAACTAAGTCCAAGACCCTGCTCTATATGAATTCGGAGCGTGACTTAAGGCACAAAATATATATTCAGATGGCCTAGCTGCTAACCATTGGTTTGATGTCCCTAGGAAATTGACTACGGTATTACTATTGACCCCAGAAACGATAGACCTTACATCTGCCTATTAGCAAATGTGACTAAAGCTTTATTCGTAAAAATTGCAGGCCCCTCACTTATAATCAAATTTATCGGCAGATAATGCTATTACATCATCAAAATTAGCACGATACACATGATAACATATGTGGGTTACTAAAATTATACATTTAGGGAAAAATTTATCAAGATTTGAAGGACAAAATAGATACGGAGACAACTACGCACAGAAAGTGTAAGTTTACGTACTTTCGGTATTGCTGTTGGTATCACAAACGTATTGAATACATTTTTACTCCATCGATGCGTTACGGATTTTGATACGGGTAGCTAAAACGTTGTGCGAAACATGTACACTGTAATTATTGCAATACCATTCCATACAGTGTAAAATGAATTGAACATACCATTTGAAAAACTCGATTTATTTCAAACAATAAACAAATTCATTCACCAAATTTTAGTCAAATTATACAAAGCACACTGTGCTTGTTCATATAGTGATACCTTTAGAACTAAAAACAATATAATCGAAGGGTAAAATCGGATACGTAAATGACCAACGTACAAAAGCCTCATTTTTCGTGTTTTCCGTATCATTTCACGTATAAATTGAACTGACTACGCATAAATCTGGTAAATACGTTACGGATACGGATCCATGGAGCTAAAAAACGTTTTGCGAAACCTCTCTATTCTTTCATATGACTTGCGGCAAACCTACCATTTCCCATTGGTTAACATGGGAATGTCGATTTTCAAAAACTCATCAAATTTATCATCAATTTTCGACGTATTGTAATTGAGGAATTTGGAAATAAAGTCAAAGTACGTTTCCATCAATATTGTAAGTTATTTCATCGCCGGTTAAGTAAATAAAAATTCAAACGTAAAGAGGCTTTAATTACACGTAGTTCAATGGGAGAGCTAAGGTTGCCAAGCTTATGGAGGGGAGTGTAAACGTCGTCACACATTTCTCTTAACTTGGGCAGGTAAAAGTTGTTTCACTTAATCCAACTCACGTTTTCACGGCTCGTGCTGGGCAAGCTAGTCATGTACAACGCATCACGTTCCATTGCTGGGTTGTCGTAGCCCGCCTCTCTATTTCTGGATGTGTAAATAAAAAAGCAGGCATTAAATTATGATATTATTATGAAACAAACTCAAAGTGATTTCGTTATTGAAATAAATATAATTCATTAAAAGGTTTTAACATGCAAAATAACCACCTGTAGAGATAAGAACATGAATATTTCTGCTATAAACATGATAAAAACATGGGTTGACTGGACTCAAGATAAAATATCACTTTATAATTTTCATTTTTCCATCTCTATTTTTGTTAGCTACTATAATGTCTTACGTTCGTAGAGATGCAGAAGAGATAGAGGGCCGAGACGGGCGAGTGAATTATTTGAAGAAGTAGGGTATACACTATAAAAGTTTTCAACCATGATTGTACAATATTGCCAAATCTCCCCCATCCTTAAATACGAGATTACAACCAGACTCTCTAATATAGTTTAAATTTACCCGTCAACTTGTTTTCCCTTGTGTCCTTTTCTTTTACGGATGACCACAAGAACTATGCATATTGCAGTCAACAATAGAAGGAAGCATACACCAGCTGGTACCCCGACAACTAACCATAAACTTGTGCAGACGCCGCCAATTACAAGCTCTCCATCTTTGCATCTGTATCTAAATTGAAATAACAAGACATCGTAATCGTCAGAGCAATATACCTTTAGATAGTATAAGGCATTTTAATAAACTAGTTTCAAGCCATTAAAGGGATGCTATTATTCCTGGTGGAACATACTTACTTTACACAAATGTTGCAATGTTGATATTATATTATTTGAAATAAGAACAATTCTAGGCATAAGAAACAAAAATATAATATATCAAGACCATTCTGATATTCATCACATCGTTCGATCTCGCGACATATGATCTAAAATGACACAAAGGTGTCAATGATTTCTTCCCCAAGTATATCACTGTCGCACAGAGAGCTAAAAACAACGCGAGCATAAAACCTTACAGTTTCACTTTTTATAAATGATATAAAGGATGAAATAGATGCCAAAATCGAAACATATCAAGCAAATAATTGTGGGAGAAGAGTTAAAATCTAGTTCTACTACGTATATTGAATAATGAAAAGTCCTCTTACATTTCTGTTATTGCTACCTCGTTTGTTGTGGTCGTTGTTGGCAGGGATGACGTAAGCGTTGTCAGGTCAACTGTTGTCAGTGATGGCGTGGTCACTGTTGTTGTAGACACTGGAGGGGGGTTCGTGTAGACGATGTAGAAATCTCCATATAAGGAAACTTCTACGAGGTGAATACTGCGTAATGTGATACTTGAACCATTGTCGGCTGCAACAACCCACAAACGGTAGACTTTCCATTGTATTTTACCAGACGATGGGTCAACGTGAACAACTCCCGTTGAAGAATCTATTGTGAATAGATCTTTGGCATCTTGATCAGTCTTAGTGTCGATGTAATAATTAACTCTGCCATTTTCCTCGCTGTCAAGATCAGTGGCACGTATTGTTGTAACGAACTCGATTTGTGTGGAGTTGAATAGTTTCACGGGTATCGGCTTGTCTGGTGCATCTTCAAACGCTGGTCGATTATCATTAATATCTGTAACTTGAATCGTAATCGTTGCACTAGAAGATTTCGATGGTGATCCACTGTCCTCAACAATAACCTCAATTATCATTGTATCATTCCACATTGTCTCCCTGTCAAACACTACCGCCGTTCTAATCTCAGCTGTGTTTCTATCAATTAGAAACAGTCTATTTGGCTCGGAAAATCTAAAATTTAATTTCGCGTTTCTTCCCGTATCTTCATCAGTTGCGTTTAGTTTACTCTCAAAATGAATATTCGTTCCAATGGGCGACTCCTCTGGTACAACACCAGTGTAATAAGTAGCAGTGAAGACAGGGACATGGATATTAGGTCCTATGTCCGTATCACAATTCATTCCATCGAATGTTCCTGAACATGTACAGATATTAGGAGCTTCGCAAAAGCCATTGTTTGAACAGTTATTTCTCAAAGAGCAATCAGCTATATCACATAATGCCCCAGACCATCCGGCATCACACGAGCAATTGTTCATCTCCGTGCAGTTGCCATTTCCTACAATTATCAATACGTATATGGCACAAAATGAATCATATCCTAGCAGAACTTAACAAATCTTGGGAGGTTACACCCTTGGTCCTAGGGTATTTCACTTTATTCCATTGTGAAATAAATGAAGCCCTTTGAATGAAGGATGGGGAGTACAAGCCAGATTTCAGATTCGGCGAAAAGTCTGAGAAAATATACAAGAGATTACTACACCAAGTTTAAGATATTTTATGGAAACATTTTTTAAAGAAACCCTTACCCGAACAATAAAGTAGCCATTTGCAGGACCAACGTGAGCAGTCATCGCCTGTATAGTCGTCCTCACACGTGCAGATATTTGGTTGAGTACACACGCCATGATCGGAACAGTTATTCAGGCTAGAACAGTCCACATCTTCGCAGTGAGCTCCAGTAAAGCCAGTATCACAACTAGAAATAAACAGTTTGAAGTTAAACCACTGATACATTAACAACATTTGATAAAAGTATGTGAACACCCGTTTCCTTATTCGTTTGAGCAAATTCAGTTTTTATTTCTTCTTTTATTAACTTTTATATTGCAAAGTGCCATTCTTGCATTAACATTGCTAGTTACAGGGGTTCAAAAAAGAAACAATTACATATGAAGACGATTTCTAACATGAAATGATAAGCGACAAAAATGCAAGATATTGCAAGTATACAAAGATCTTATAATATTCCGTACATGCACGTTTTGTTACTTCCATCTTGCACACATATCCCATGCCCAGAACAATGATCTAATTCTGGACAATCTATAGTGTCTTGGCAGGATTCACCATAGAACCCTGGGTCACAACGGCAAACATTTGGTAAATGACACATTCCATGTCCGGAGCAGTCCGACACTTGCGAACATACTGGCTTTGAACAGGATGTTCCTCTCCAGCCATCGTCGCATGAACAAATGTCATATCCCTGGCAAGTACCTTGTTGGTTGTGCTCTAAAATTGCAACGGTGAATATTGTTTTGTGCTTAATGAAATATCGAAACCCTGTTCAGTATTTAAATCTACATTTTTTTAGAGTCAGCCATCTTGATCACGAATTAATTACATTCTTTCAACTGGTTCAATGATTCAACAGAATTAGAGATTCGTAAATAATTACATAACATCATAAACGTATTTGATGATTACCATTGCAATAGTTGAGTGTTTCACATGAGGGCTTGTAGCACTCATCTCCCATCCACCCTACGTCACACTTGCATACGTCATGGTCAACGCAAATACCATTGTTGGTGCAGTTGTTCACGTTGAAACAAGTAGCGGTCTCACTGCAATTGGCCCCTAAGAATAAAACAATCATAATATCGATTTAAGTCCAAGAAACTACGCACCCGTATCAAGACTACAAATGACAGTTCAGAAGTTTTTCTCACAATACGGCACCACCAGTCAAATAAAATCAGTGCCTACCCGCTTTAATTGTGTTTTAGCAGTATGGTACGAGATTAGGCCTAGGCAACTCAAAGCATCATCTTTTTTAGGTATCCGAAAAATCTTTGATTCATGATGTCATGATCATTTGACATCACAATAAGTAGAGGTTTTATAAGATTAATTTGCGATTGGAGAACACGTTCTATAGATATCTCCCACAATGCATCAAGTCTTACTGTACCTGTGAATCCCAACTGGCATTTGCACACGTTGTGTTTCACACAGTGGCCGTGGTCCGTATCTGTACAATTATCCACGGCACTGCAATTAGCTGAAACATGAATAAATGATGAATGAAGTAACAAACAATTTTACTCCTCGAATCAAAGTGAACCTAACCCTACATATAGTGGCGATATACACATACGCCATTATTAGTTGATACCTTTTTCTCGAAAACTATTGTCTTGAAAACATCAATTATTTTTATTCTTCTGATCATGATTCATCTGCATAGTAATCAATTAATATAAAGTAGTTTACCTAATTCATTACATGTTGGCCCATCCCATCCGGCAATACAGGTACAGAATCCAAGGGAACAGTTGCCATGTATACAGGGCTCCTTACACATACCTAAATATATTTTCTTGTCATTAACATCTTTTGGAAATTATTACTGACAACAAACAATCGTTTGTAAGAAGGTCGTTTTTACAAGGCTTTTTGCATTTTTTTCTATAATTGCTTGTTCTGAGGAATGATATGAAGCACAACAAGTTATACAATACTAGACAAACATCCCAAACGAACGATGATCTTATGTACAAGGAACATCATCTAATCTGGGCATCTAATTTACCCCTTTTATCTTGTAACATAATACTATAAGATCCAATATCGTTATTAAGTAACAATTGTTCATTACCAATGTCACAGGCGTCACCTTCCCATCCTGATGTACACTGACATGTTGAATTTATACATTCGCCTCTTCCGCTACATTGACCGGGGCAGTCTGAAATATATGGTTGCTATAATCATTTCTCAATTTTCTGTAGGTCATCTAGCAATACTAGAAGTTTGACGTAATCTTATACATACCAATGTGTATACAAGTTTAGTATTCAAGCAATCCCCATTTGCATGAGATGTTTAAAAGCTCCATGGGTTTTACTGAGACTCTTTAGATTTAAAACACAAATACAACACAAATAACAAATGAAATTATTTAATCCATAGGTTAGTTATACGTTTATAAGCATAATAAAATAAAAACTGTACCTGATTTCAGATACTCTTGTGTAGAAAATGTTGAATCTTCAGTTACCAAGACATCAAAGATACATTCTTCAAGTAGCCTTTCATCGCTGATTTTCTTTGATGAACATATTTCTCGACTTGCCTGTGAAGTAGATAAAGTACGTAGAGGGTAGTCCAAAAATTGGAACATTTGTTAATCGTACAGAACATTTATTTTTCAACTCGACTACACCAAATCATGTATATAAGTGAGTGTCCTAAGTATGAATGGGTCCTACAAATCGTATATTTGCTGAAAGTTTCAGAAAATATACATTTGTTGGAATTTTGCATATTTTGACAGAGGCTCGGATTTATTTTCACGGTTTATGAACCAACTTGATTTTATTCAGAAACTTACATTAATTTGGTAATCAGGAAATTCCCGTATGTCATATACTGGAGAATACAGTGTTTTATCGGTGTAGCTTGGGCCGAGTATGTCAAGGTTGTGGAAGTTAGATGACGTCCATGTCCAGGAACCTTGTAGGCCAGAAGTATTCTGTTTGGAACCCCCAACTCTCCCTACACAAAAATAGAAACGGATATGATGAATAACATTCGCATTCATACATATACAATGCACCCTAGAAACCGAATGACTAGCCTGCAACGCACAGAAAATACATTATACAAAAGGTAAATTGATAACATTGAAACCCATTAAATCACACTTGTAATGAGTAATGCAAAAACAAACAATCCTGAAATATTTCTTTTTACCAATATTGTTTCAAATTTTTTTAAAGTTTTCTCATGTCATTCTTCTACCGAAAAAGTGTTGTAATTTTTAGAAGCTTTCCCATTGCATTCTTCACAGGAAATACGTCAAAAGCTAGTATTGTTTGAAACGTACATGATTCAGCAAATTGTATAACAGAGGTTGTGTTGTACAACTTTCCATCTGCACCAGTGAAGTCATTGCTTTGATCATCATCCATGAGGCCACATAGACCCGATGTCTTTCCAGAGAATGCAGCTGTTAGCTGAAGGACCAGATTCAAATACTGCCGCTTCATCTTAGCACTGTATCTAAGATATGTACTGACCATTACACCTGATAAAGTAAAACATATAAAAATGAGAATCCCATTTAATATAAAAATGATGACATGAAAACAGTAGCACGGTGTTTCCATCCTTTTATCCAAAAGTTGATAAAATGCTGTCAATTGAATATTTTATCACCACTCTGGTAAAATGTAGCATTAGTTCCAAGAAAATGCACATATTGAAAAAGTGCCTAAATTAGTGGAAACACTATAAGTAAAGTAAATACCTGTATTATATTGAAGAGTTACCAACATGACACTGTCATCACTGCCGTTGCTATTAGTTATTACCATATGTACGTCATCACTTATCTTGTAATCTACTGTTTGATTTGCAACATCAACAACTTCACCATTTAATCTAAGCACAACATACAAAAATACAAGTAGGCTACTACCTAGAAAGGTATTGTCCGAGGTTTTAGACCACCATAGGTTTTAGTATTTTTTGTTCCAACTCAGTCTATTTGGAAAATGGCATTAACAAATTATTAAAGTTACTTTTTATTTTATCTTGTCTTGATATGAGAGTAATTGGCAATTGTCTTGATCGATGTATATAATCATAAGTTTAAACCACTTGTTTAATACTACTGACCTTATAACTGGTAATGTGCTCTCATCTGCTGGTTGATGTGTCACCAGCGTCACAATGTTCTCACCCGCTTTAATCGCCACCCCTCCGATGAGAGATGCGTTGCGATATCCAAACATTCGTGTCTGAATACCAAAAGCATTGGCCTCGCTCTTGCAATCCCAAAACTCACCTATGCCATGGAAGTCATATCGCACACCTGTAACAAAAGGATATAGAACAAACTTTCAGTGAATTGATTATTTTCGTTTGTTTTTACACTAAAAATAAAATAACATTTAAAAAAAAAATTAATCCGATCTTAGGCCCTTTGTATAAATGGCATATTTCAAATATGATTTGTTGAGAATGAAACAAAAAAGTTGAGATTGTGTTTTATTTTAATTTGTTTATCTACAAAACTAGATAACATTAGTTAACTAAAAAGTTCTGGCATTCTTACCATCTAGAGTTTGAAGATGAGGATCGCCTCCTCCTGCAGTTGGTATTCTGAACTCACAGCATGCTCCTCTCCATTGGGCACCACATTGGCAGCTAGATGAACAACTGTCCAGGGAAGCTGTACAAAACCCGTTTCCAGAACAATCTAAATAAACAAAAGGTAAAATGATCATGGTTCTCTGATCCTGTTTGGAGCTTGTGAAATGCATTCAAGTGACTAAAAAGGCATCCTTAAAACATAGTCAAAACCGACCATTACTGAGTAGTAAAGGCTAAGGAATACAGCGTCTGTGGTTAATATATTTACTTAAATGCGCGAACTTGAACAGGTCTCCACTTTTGTTGCCTTGACGATTTGATGATTTGATGTGGTATCATCAGTGTTATTACCTTGACATGTTCCACATTCTGGTTGGTCGCAACTTTTTCCTCTTCGGCCTGGGACACAGCCGGGTGCGATTCCGCATGGATGTTTAGCAACACATGAACATTCACAGTTACGCCAAATGACTTCCTCGTTGACATCACACGTAGGACATCTGTTAGACAATGGAAGATAACTATCATGACTTGGATAGATAACACCTTTGCAAGTTGACTGTTGATCAAATATAACCTAATTTTTTCTATGTGATACTGGTTCTTGCACCATGTGTTATTTATGAAATAATATATAAACTAAAGAGTTTCCAAAGCCTCCTATAAAGCATTAAGTAAGAGAACTAAAGCAGTTGTACATCGTTGTAATATTTAATATGAGGCTCTCAAATCATAAAGGCAGTCTATAAATGACAAAATAAGATCGGATCCAATGAATAAGCTTAATTATATAATTATAAATGAAAACACTGTTCCATATGGCTTTCAACAATGCAGAATTGTTGCAATATTTAACATAAAAGACTCACAAATCATCGGGACAATGGCATCCATTCTGAGTAATAACAGAGTGCTGGCAATTATTACACGTGCAGCCGCACGAACATGTTCCATTCTGATCCATGTTGGAGATACTACCATCAGCACATGTACATGGGCACTGAAACATTGATCAGCCAATTGTACACTGTGTAATAGTGATAGAAAATATGTCATATGTAATTATTGATTGGGGAATGGGGAAGGGGGTTGTTAGGCACTGTTTTTTCACTTTGGATTATGATTCGAGATAAATGAGGTTTGATTTCCTAATGTCTGGTCTGTAACCATTTTTGATAGCAGTATGCACACAAATGCTCCATTCCACTTGGTACTTACATCACATCTGCCATCTGGAAGAAGTTGTGACACAGATCCGTCAGTACACTCACAACTACATACCGGTTCCCCACTGCCTCCTATTTGTTCTTTCATAATACCACCAGGACATGTGTCACAAATACATTTACCATTCATGATAACACCGTTGTCTTCTTGACATTTACAACACTGTGTGTTTGGGGCTAAAGAACACTGGGAAGGTGTTTTGAAGCACTGCCTAAAAGGTAAGCATTCATAATACTAATTATTTGAAGTTGAAACAAAAGTCAAATCAAAATTTGAAAAAGGAGAAACAGCCAAGGGTCGTTATCATTAGCTATTTAAAGTCCCTTGTTTTACCAACATCGCTCTGCAATCTCCAATAAATAGAAGTATAATGTAAGTGCAAAAGTTTTGTTTCGGCAATCACAATATTTCTCTTAAAATCTTTGTCCTTAAACTAAACCCTTTTAGTTGAAATCGTTTCATTCAAACTCTCTTTCAATAACTCAATCGTGATCTTTCATTCAAAAACTGTGACACATAATCTCCCGGGCATAATGTCTGCATTGTAATATCGGAAATTAAAGACAATGTATTTTTAAAATTACCTTGCAGTTATTAAGTTTCCATCTGATTTGAAATGTTCATCTAAGTTTGTAAAGCTAGAGGCTTTTACAAACCCGGTTATTTCCCCTATTCCAGATGCAGTATCTACAAAACCCTGACTCTTTCCACATTGGTTGCAGTAGTCTGAACACGAATCAATGATCCCATCCAAATGTATGGGCAAATTAAAGGACACTTTGAAGTCCGTCACTGTTTCACCTTCATCTGTAAGATTCGCCAATCAAATTGATAAACCACATGTTCCTTACCATGTGGATAGATGAATATGGTAAATTTATAAACATTAATTTCTGAATCATTTTCAATCGAGACTACCTTGGGCTTGAATGGGCAACAACCGATAAGGAATACTAGTGATGCCCTGAAAGTAACTTTATAAAATATTGTAACCTCATAATTCTAAGTAAGACACACTGGGCAGAATACGTAGGTAAAATATGAGGTTTTTATATGTGTATTATATGGCCATATAAGGTGTGGTAATCGGTTTTAACCAGGAATATTATTGGATGAAAAGAAGAAGATTCTGGTATATCATTCGAAAAAAAATATCCTGCAGTTATTACAATGTCTATTTTTAAAAGCTTTCTAGAGAAAGAACTGTATATCAGTTGTGTAACTGATGGGCAGCAGGTGATCAACAGGTCGAAGAATACCTTCACAAAATTGATTCCCAAGAATCTCTGCTGGGCATTCTTGTTCCTCCGGTTGCGCAGTATTTCCCGAGGGATATCTGAACGTCAGTGTGTTTTGAAGAATTGATTTCACATCAATTGACCCTGTTTTATTGTCTAATAAATACGGTCCTTCCTGTACAGGTTTTTGAATATCCTTAAAGAAAAACGCAGTAATTCATCAAAGTAAATGTACATAAATGTACAAAAGGACGTCACAGACCTTTTAAACAAACTCTACCATATTTTTTGTTGCACAGCCAACATAAGCTAGGATATATTGCCCATGTCCATGATGTCAAAGATTGTAGATAGCAATGTTTACAAAGAAATTCAGCTTGTCGTCGAAAATAAAACATAAGTTAATCTTATTTTCCAGCCATTATCGCTACCTACCACATTGAGACTATGAATAGGAAAAAGTTTTGAATTCTTCGTTGGGGCAAAAGAGAATGTGGTTTTTAGAAAGATATGTTAGGTTAATGTGTTGACTGCAATGTAAAATGTGAAATATTTTATTTTTTTTAATTTATTCATATAGTATAATTATTGTCATAAGTGTCATCATAATCATTATTATAAGTGTCACATTTACACACTAGATAATCATAAGGGGGTATATCAGTGCATTTTCAAAAAATGGAAAGCCATTAAATATAACTACAATTACATTTTGATAATACTCATACTTTTGGAAACATTTTAGTAGTGTTTGGTTCAATGTGTGAATTAAGCATATGAGTGGATATGAATGAATCCCAAACACGTTCATATTGATACTTTTAACAGAAACGTCACTTACAAGGTTGACGTTTGCGAAATGAGAAGTTCCAGACGCCTTGTAGAATCCAACCCCAACTCCAACATTGTTTGATGCAGATGATCCCAAATCCCTTCCACCAGCACTCTGATAAAATAGATGTAATATATTTAAGTACTACTACATGTAATATTTAAGTACTTAAATGTTAACCTATTCAGTAGTAGTCTGTCTTTATTGAAATATGCGAGAAATTCAAATGTGAGTTTTTAACACTAACATTTTCAAGCAGTTTTAAATATAAAGCAGACATGACTGGTTTTGTTAAGTGTGTTTTGATGTTGCAATATATTTATTTGTTAATGATAATGCATTCGAATTTATTCAAAAATAAACCATCATACTGATACATGTCCGGCAAGTATCAAAATTTTAAAATATAATCTGGATAATAGTCGAACATTTTCTATAAAAAAGTATTACCTGTGACTTCGCTGAGTACTTCAATTTTGAGTTCATTACGAGCTTCGCTGGGACAAACAGGTTGCTCCCAATTTGCAGAAGCACTTCTTTCTTCACTTGTTTAAACTTCTTGAAAAGTGACATTTCACGAGTGTTGGTGTTCTTATGTCTGAAATACAATATTAGTTTATTAGATGAAACTCAGTCCAACAGTGCTTAACATTGTCACAATATATGACATCTATATTTTACAATATCGTAAATAAAATGCTGTCAAAAATGTTACATTTATATAACCTTATTTCAACAAAAGTAACATAATCACATAGACCTTAATATGAAATAATTTTAATGGCGGTGTAAGTCTGGAGATTTATTTAATAATATATCGAGTACTTACTCCCATTTAATGGTATTTTTAAGATCGTAGTTAAATTTCCCATCAAGATTGACACCAAGAGTGGATTTAAGTGGCTTTTCAGATGTCACAGTCTGTGACAGCGTCACACCAGCGTCGTATTTGACTGTTAGTTTATAATTACCACTGTGTCCTTTGTGTTTGGAGGGTTTCTAAAAAATGATGCCATGATCATCAACATATCATTCATATAATAAATAGTGTATTTACATGAGATCAACCACATATCAAGCACAGAATGTAAAAACTGTGTTAAGTGAAATCTACTTACAAATTGTATGTTTTTCTTCATAGTAACTGCAATTTTCTTAAAATAATCGGTAGTCGTTTGACGTTTTCTTCTAGAAAGCTTTAGTATTTCTGTTTCGACAGAGCTGTCATTTTTAACTGCTACAACATTTGTCATGACGTAAAAGTTATGTTGATTACTTGAATATTTGTCGAGTACCTAAAAAGAGTTGTATAAAATTAGGATATTTCCCCAGCTGTCAAAATAAAACGAAATTTAAAAACTTAAACATCTGTTCAATGACTGACACACAAAAATAAACATTGTCAACTTTTAAATATCCGCTCATTGATTTAAATTTACACTATTTATAAACATTGTCAACTTGAATATTTCTTGTGGCTGGCAAACGTTTTAAAAAATACTCAAAAGTCAAAAGCATACTTAGCTGAAATATAATTCATTAACACGATCAACATTAATAAGCCAGTTGCTGAGACACATTTATTAGAATTTACTCACTTAGTCACCTACCTTAGCTGAAAATTGCTGTGTTCCCCGTCCTTGTATAAAAGACCCCTCGACTACATTCTGTGACTCGTAGGAAGGCATAACTGTACCGCCATAAAGGTTCTGTTCCCCAGATAAACAATTCAGGTGTGGTTTGTATTCATTCCGAGTGCTTAAATCATAATCATATACAAATGAGTAACATGCTTTTATACTAGCATATGTCATCTAAGAATCAAAAGGTTTTCTGTTATAAGTCAAGGAGAACCATTTTGGACCTCTGAATATTCCTCTATTGACTCCCATGTATTATTTGGAGGAATCGTTCTTTATCTAAGATTTGATCTGAAGAATGACTCACATTATACCAGCATTAAACATCATTTGCCTTGAACATTGTGTCAGTCTTGTCTTAGCAATTCTCATTTTGGAATCCTGGACAACAGATGTAACGCTTTCGATGTATCCAAGTGGCGTTCCAACTAAAACATCTCCTATTTCATAAGCTTTGTTATCAGCACTATTCGGTATTACAATCACAAACGACGCAGAATCATCCATACGCTCCCCCAGACAACGAAACATCTTTTCTAAAAAGTACCAGGTCGATTATGTGGAGTTATTACGAAAAATTGTCCTAACGCGAAGGGGTGAGAATAAAACCGTATTTAAAACAGCTAACCGAACATTTGAAAGTATAAGTCAGTCAGAATCCCATCCTCATGACTGATGTACAAATACATTGTCTATAGTTCTCACCTCCACCATGGTAAATATTTTTCCTGATTATGCCTAGTCTCCCGAATAGGACTCACTCTGATAGGACTCTGCTTGTTTTCCAGATTCCAATCCGTATTATCATAAAATTAATTGCCAAATGTATAACTTGAATCCATATTGTTTGGCCATGATATAAACAAGGACACGATAGACAAACATACCATCAGTAAAGAAAACTCTACTCCCTGCATCTCTCATGTCCCTCAGTTGATCAAGTAAATCGTCTTCAGTTTCCAGTTCGTCAATTAGTATGTCATTCACCGGTCGAAGTTCAACTGGTTCGTTGAAATCAGAGTAGGTTACCAAATCATTCAAAGATGCCGGTTTACCAGACATTATTGTAAATGTTCCTGAAATGAAAACATTCTGAAATTTATATTTAGAATAGCCTACGAAAAAAAGGATTGTATAAAAATGACACCATCTATAACTTCCTGTCAATAGCACTGTAGATGAAACAGATTGTTACGTTGTAACATGGGCCTTCAAACATTCACCATTTGAATATCAAGCAGGAATTTCTGTCTGAGAGTGTTCCTTAAGTTGAAGTTCACACGACGAATCAATTAACATTCACCATGTTACTAACAATGACAAGGAAAGGGAATTCAATTTATGCTGTAGAGGTGTATGAAAGCCCATGATCGTAATGAGGCGGAATTCATAGAAAATACAGGGTTATGATTGTACATGAAGTTATGAACGTGGTGATTATTTACCAGTTTACCAATGTTTTATATTCCATCTAAAAGAAACGACTATTCTATTCCGAGATCACAATATACAAAGCCATAACCTTCAAAACACTGTCTTAACATGTACCTGAAGAATACTCGGAGAACTTGTATGACTGTATTCGATGTGCTATTCCACCTGCCTGTGGCGACACTATAGCCATTGAATTATACCGTGGAAGGGATACCACATCAAAGACAACGATGACATCAACAGTTTTTGTTGGACATCTCAAAAGTGGCGTTACTTTCGGATCCAAAAACACAACGCCATTCTTTGAAACAGTTTTATCAAATCTTGTGTGTGTATAGTCGATATTGAGAAGTCCATCGGGACATCTTGTGGTGTTCCAAACTTTGCAATCACTCAACTTTAAAAAAGATATTAAAGATAGCAATTTCTTCCAAAGATATTCCTTAAAATCGATAAATATTTTTCAATTATTCTATTTTCATACCGGATTATTCTCAATGAAACAGTTTTCGATGTCTATACAGCGGTTGCATTTTTCTTGTTTGTAGTAAGGATTGTTTTCACCATCACATTGTTTCCCATTGCAGTCCATTATCTGAAATATTCCTCATGCATTAATATATAAGAGTTAATATAATTTTGTTTTGTTATCTATTCTTCAATCAATTCTGTATTGGCTTGGTGATTGGTGATGGGAGGCACTCTCCACTTAACCCCAATTTGTTTTTCGTAACTGCACAGAGAATATGATTGTTCAGCTAAAATGTTTGAAAATCGAACGATCAGATTACCTGTTTTTGATAATTGATGATATAACATCGGTTTCAGTTGTTGGAAATTGATGTTGTAAAGTTTAAAATTTAAACCTGTCTTTTATTGGTAATAATACAATTTCAGTTTTGGAAATTGATGTTATGAAATATCAGATTCAAATACCTGTATTTCCTTAGAACAAACAGAACGTTCTTTTGTGGTTAGGCAATTGTAATAAAACCAAGCTGGACAGGTAGTTAATGTTGGGGCGTCTCCTCCACCGGGCATGCATTGTTGTGAAGTGTCACACCAGCCACATCCAATCTGGTTGCTACATGCGACACATCCAGTATATCGGGGACAGTAACTCGTTGAACACCCTGCACCCTAAGACATACATTAAGTACAATAAAGTCATATATTCGTGTAATATATGTATATATTTTGAGTGAGGTGGAAAACATATTACATTTTCTCAATTAAATTATTGGCTAATAATGCTCTCTGAGCCTTGTCAAAATGTCTGTAATGGTTGCTGATTCTGTGAAACTAAATAAACTATGGATAACAAATTAGTTATATAGTACCCCCAAACAATTTTGTCCCCTACTTTGATGTGTTGTAGAAAAATATCCAATAAGAGTTTTCTCATGGAATTTGGCATACTTTAGATTGAAACAATTTGTGACACTTAAATGTAATTTTGTTTGGGGTAATATGACTTCACCACAAAAGGAGTGACTGTTATAATGTTACAATGTTATGATGTTACCCCTGAAGGTTCACATGTTAAATCCATGTGAATCGTTTCCAACAAAAGGTAAGCCCTCGGTGGCCATCTATGAAGTATTGGGCGAATATGGCCTCCTAATAGTAGGCCAACGAAAAATTGAATGCAAGCTCACTGTTAATAATACCTTAATGGACTTAAACGAAATACAACCATTTTCTTGAAATTTTATAAGATGCGAGCTATTGGAAAAGATTTTTAATCGAGTGAGATAGTAGGAAATGCTGTAGTGGTAGGATGGGATAGAAATTCAAGGAGGGATGTCTTTCAGTGCCCTGATAAACCTTTTTAGACTTAAAGCCAACAAATCATGTGAAACATGCACCTGTCCGTGTATTGAAAGTATTAAAAGGGTCTTCACTCTTAAACAATAATAAAACCACACTTACAATATTCCTATTTAGGAGTTAATCTCCGACACATAGTAACAATATCTTAAGAGAACAGACAAACCATATGTAATGCAATAAGTTTGTTATCAAAATGTAATCAAAATAATTTAAACTCTCTTTAAAACTGCAAAACTGGAAATTTTCGTCGAATTTTGTTAAAACATGAATACTTTAAAAATTGCCAAATTTTATTAGCAAACTCTTTTTGGATATTTTTCTACAATACATCAAAGTAGGCGACAATATTGTGTGATGACACTCTCAAACAAACAGATTAGAAAGCTTTGCTGACAATTGATGTATGTATCAATATGGTACATTAGAGAATTTGAAAACCTCCGTAGACAAAGATGGTTAATATATTGTTAGTCAAGTCTCGTTTGAACTAGACTTCCGTATTGGTGTTTATTATTTTATGTAACGTTCAATTGTAATATACTAAATATTAAGATATCTATTTCATCGTTGAGAACTTACAAATTCAGTGGATAAGTTCCCTTTGTACAGGTACATATACAATATTGAATTCATTCCCGCGTCTGTCCATCATGCATAATATACAATATCTGCACTATGATACACGATTGATAATAATAAACGGTTGAGATAACCCATATTTGCTTGTGTTTTGAATTTAAATAGAGTTTATATTCATGTGTTTTATATTTCTAAGAACATTGAGTGAAATCGTGGTATCTTTAGAAAAAAATATTTCTGTTTATTGGCCTAAGTATTTTAATGCTTCTTTATACCACTATATACTTACATACCACCCTTGCTTACAGCGGCACTGATTCGGCCCAGAGCATTTTCCAAATTGTCCACAGTTGTTGACATCCTTACAGTGATAAACAGAACAGTCGTTGCCATACCAACCACTATCACACGCGCAACTATTTCCTAAACACTTACCATTGTAGGAACAACTATTTGGACATTGGCTTGCTAAAATAAAGAGAGCATTACGATCAAACGATTGAGAGAATTACGATTAAATGATGCTGTCAACCATTCCCGCTATTTACGACATGTTTTCTTGTTGGAAAACACATATTTATTAGCATGTTATTAACCCTAATTTAAGCATATTTATTCGAACTTACGTTGTTCTTTGTAACATACTGTTGGGTATGGATGGCTGCAGTTCGTGGTTTTCTCTGATTTCGAACGTGTATCATACACCTTGCATTCCTTAAAAAATGTAAGAGGTGAGCATGTAATGATGTTGTACTTTATTTTATATGATGCCATAATCAGCATATTTTTCTTAGTTTTAAAGCAATGAACACATACATGTATCATTTGTTTATAGTAAACGTTGATAGCATAATCTTTTAACTGCAGATCTTAGAGTCGATCGATATTCTCGATGAGTATGAATTTTAAAAAAAAATTGAATGTGATCTCATAAAATAACTAGTTCTCAAAGGAAACTACTCGAACTTTCTTAAACAGTTTTAGACCTTTAACGAATCCTGACGTGTCCAAATAAGGGGAGAATCCAAACCCTTGTCGTTCACTTCTTTCAGAATATCATCCAAAAGATAGATATCTGATTTCATCATCGCACCGCCTGCGTCCTGTGTGAGGATATGGAATGGTTTAAGAATACAAACAATCACAATTAATTTACTAAGTTTTACCAATCTAAGGTAGATTCCAAAATACACTAAAACTGATTTAACATGCAATATCACTAATAATTTGAATTAAATGTCTTTACAGATGAAAACATGTAGATCAATGGGCAAAATAACAATGATGTAATGCATCGGTACGAACAATTATAGACTGATATGTTTTAAATATGTTCAACAATCGCATTTTGAAAAGTGTACCTTGCATATTTTCAAAGAATAACTGTGTGAATTGGCACCTCTAGTCACATAGTAACACGTTCCCCTAATGTCAATCCACCCAAAATCACAACTTCCTACAAAATATTTTTGAAATAATTATTAAGATTGGCAAGGAATTTTTAAAGGTAAATTGTCTAAACTAAAATACTTTGAGTTTCTTAACTTGTTTTGAGGACCTCAATGTAAAATTATAATATTGAAGTTTGATAGGTAAAAAAGCAGTTCATTTTGAATAACATTTAATTGATCTACCTAATATTTGCTTCGGAGACTGCGCAATGGGCTCGATTTGAAAACCAGGAAGGGAGTGGTCAATATTAGTACTACGTAATCTAGCAGTGATGTCTACCGTGGACATACTATTTCCCCACCAATTTCTCGCTGTTTGCACTGTTGGATAACCAATCACTGACGTCATCTCAAATGTATTTACTGGGTTTTCCAACCAGTTATTGATGTATTTGGTATTCACACCTTGCGCTATAATTGTAATTTTATCACTAGGTTGTTCACCGATGTTGTTCCGAACAAGGTTTTTAGTGAATAACGATGCTTCTTGTCTTTGTTTCCACCATATAAGATTACTCCCTCTATTGTTAACAAAACTGTTTCCTTTAATTGTACCATCTATGTCATCAATCCAGATTATTGGCATTGTTGTCTCATTTAAAAGTGTTTCACCCGCGTTGTTTGTGATGTCATTATCGAGAATATAAAAGTTTCCACTGTCCGTCAAATTTTCAGATTTATCTTTGATATAAACAAGAGTCTGCCCAGTGTTTTGCGTGATGTTGTTGTAAGCTAAAAGAATCTTGGAGTTACCATTGTCCGACTCAGTGAGAATATTTGCTATCCATTTATTCTTCTTGAATTGGTTATGAGTGATAGTGATGGAGCTATTTTCGGAAACTATGTCAATACTTTTATAATTTGACATGAATGTAGATCTTTCGATATGAATATCTGGGGTGGACGATCCAGTTAAAACCGCTTTGACACCATCGCCATTATTTCTGATGATACTACTTTCAATTGTAACTCGCTGTTTTGGGAACTCTGAAAATATTAAATAAAACAGGATAAACTTGAAATGTATTGGACCTTTGATTATGTATAATTAGCAAAACATACGGTTTTCTGTTTTGGGAACTAATAATAAAAACATACTTCTTGAATGTGTGCCTATATATACATGACTGAGATGCGAAAATATAGTATTTGCAGACAAAATTGAGAAAATCCAATAATATATTCAAAAGGTGCCAATACTACATGTACCTTTGAACAAATGGTCAACCTCGTACACTTCTACAGCATAAATTGAATTCCCTTTCCTAGTCATCGTCAGTCGCATGGTAAATGTTACTTGATTCGTCGTGTGAACTTCAACTGAAGGAACTCTCTCAGACAGAAATTCCTCGCTTGGTATCAGATTTCTTCCGTTGTAGGCTTGTAGGAGATATGATGTAAAGTTCGAATGGTGTATGGTTCGAAAATTAAGATTTTTTCCATTAATAGAAGTAAATGTTTTTGCACATATCATTTCATATGGATATTGATTCCCTTCACCATATGCAAAGACAGCCATCACTGCTCCATTCACTTCAAAAGTTTTGACATTGTAGTCACACATATTTGTAATACCATAGATTTCGTCTTTGATGTTGTGGTATTGTTCTAGAATGTTTCTGTAAGGGAACCCCAAATGGGATAGCTTTATGGCTGAACCGTCACAGTTCTGAATCAAGGCAAGGGAGACCTCCATCCTATCAGAAATATTGAACGCCACGATACCATCACTTGGGTAACGGTTGCTTGTACAATCTATATTGATTGCAGTCATCCTCGGTGGTTTACCAACTATTGTAACTACTGGGCTGCTGCCTATATTCCCAGAACTGCGAACATTGTCGAGCATTAAATTAGTAAGGATTGATCGCTGCTGGCTCTCCGTCACCGAGAAATAAATCCCGTTCCATGTACTTAAGGAAGAAAATAAGACTGGGTCTGAATAGTTACCTTCTGCATGTAAAGTACCGAGGATAAGCATTCTGCTGCCGCGACTGAACAGTATTTTTGTACCAGGACCGACTTTTAAAATCATTCCACGAGGAACTATTATGTCACCTTCAGAGGTGTATCTTTCGTTTTGGAGTAGTGTAGTGTCTGAACAAAGTATCCCTCCGATTGTAGGCGGTGTGAATGAGAATGGACAATCAACTGGAGACAATGGAACACCATTTTGTTTATCTAAATAGGGCATGTACTCAACTTTAGCATATCTGCTTGAGTCTGCGAAGTGAGTTATCCTCTTTTCTATTGCAGAAGACTCTATAGTGCCCCAGAAATTCTCACGAAAGTCAAGAAGGTTGTTCATGCCATTGGAACGTGATTTTATGCAAATCTCTTGATTTACTGATGGATTGTTCAACACATTGTTTTGAAAACGTATATTCTGTACACCTTCTATGTTTATAAAACAGTTAGCTGTATTATTCTCAATGATATTTCCAAAGAACTTTGTTGTTGGTGAAGAGATATCCATGTAGGCATGCTCTGTCATTCCGAAGCGTATACCTCCTCTATTATCATATATCAAATTATCGGACAAGGTCAGATTCTTTTCTTTTCCACGTAAATAAAGTATGTTGGCGTTGTCATGGAATATATTATTGTTAATTTCAAACATCGCTTGATCGCCATGTAAGTAAAAGGATGTGGAACAATACGAAAACGAACTGTTCTCAATGTGTAACTCGGGATTGCGAAACTTTTTGTCATAAGTATCGTAGCCAGCGTGGTAAAACTGCATTCCATATTGTGCATTGCTCACTTGTACATTTTTAACATTCAAAACCATATCGCCTTGACGTCCCCCACGTTTACGAACATAAATTCCATAGTTTGAATTATCAATAATGACATCTTCAATCTGTAGATTCGAATCTTGAAATGATTGATCGTTGGTGAAAATCCGCCTATCTATTTTCATATAAATACCGAAGTTGGAGTTACGAGTTGGACTCTCAAAGAAACAGTTAACAATTTTTACATAAAATGGAACAGTATAAACAATTGAATGTTGTCCAAAATAATTCCAGGGATTGATGCGGTTACTATTATCCATATAATTTCTTATGTAAATTCCATAACTGTGATGATTTACTGAAGTTATGTTCCGAATTTCAATCACCAAAGATTGCTTGAATGGAGTAATACTTTCGCGTTCCACACTCGTGATGGTGGCAATAAAACGACAGTTATATGAACTACATCCTGAAAAATTGAACTCTAGTTCGTTGTTTGTTGAAGTAACCCATGTTCTCAAGGAATTGGCTGTTATCTCTGTTGTTGAGCCGTCATTACGAATTATAATTACACTTTCGTCATGATATTCGTAAATGTAAATAAGTTGAAATGATAATCTGCTATTTGGCGAAGTGGTGAAAGTAACAATTCTACCAGAGAAGCATGGTCTTTGGCTCATTTTATACAGGACAAAAGTCTCAGACGTAGACATAAATAAATCTTCAGTCGGACTCCAGTTTTGGTCACAGTTGTGTAGCGAACCCTGTCTTAGAAAATATACTTGGGATCGAGCACTGTACCCTCCATCCGGATCAATTCTAATTGCCTCTGGAGCATCATTAAAAATCGAATCTGTTAATCTAGTATCCAAACTACGAATACGAACACCTTTATTTGACTGAACATCATGAACGTCTGTTGTATACACAGGGTCGGAATGGTACAAATCAATGGCGTAGCTAGAATAACAGTTTTTGAATATCAAGTGGTTCATCCTATGTTTACCAATATCGCTGATAATACAACCCGGTGGTGATTGACTGACATCTTGTTTGCCACAATTGTCAAATATGATATGACGAAGAGTGCTCCGTTCTGCAGAAAGAGAAAACCGTATCCCCATCCAACCTATACTGGCGTTCATGACGATTTGATCTGTCGATGATCCCTCGGCTATGAGTTTTCCTTGGACAATCATGCCAATATAGTCATCAAATATCAACTTTGTTCCAGCTACTATCGTCAGGGTGACATTTGGGTAAACATGTAAATCGTCCGTGATTCTATATTCTGTCATATCAAGCGTTAAATGTTCTGTAATGACGCCACCAATCACATTACCGATTGTTCTAGAGAATATTGATTCTGTCTCGTTACTCGTGGTTGTCATGCTTCCGTCATTGAAGTAGGGAAGAATATCCAGTGTAACAAAAGAATCGTATCGTCTTTGGCGATCCAAAATGCCATTCTGAATAGACTTAAGATCTTGACTACCCCAATAGTTGTAGGAGGCATCAGAAATAATTGGCCAAGAATTTCGACTCCCCCATACTGCGACTTGGAAGTCACTCCGGGGATTTTCAAAATAGTTGTAATGCAGTTCCAATGTCGAGTAATCAGATCTTTGAGAAACGACTGCAGGAACTTCGGCTCGCTTTCGGTTGTAAAGCAAAATTGAGTTGTTTGTGAAGCTGTTGTTATTGATTTCTATTTTTTGGTTACTATCTTTGAAATTCAAAACATATTCTCCATAATTCTCAGTGAAGTTATTGTTTGAAATTGTGATTCTTTTATTTCGCCCATATTCAAGATATGTGTTTTTGTTATTCTGAAATATATTTCCTACGGTTGTTGAAGTACAAGTAGGGCAATAGTAGTCGGATATCTGTACAGCTGATTCTGAGTTATTGTTAAATGTATTGTTTTCAATAAAAATTGATTCATCCCGAACAGCAACCAAACTTGTTCGTGGACTAGGATTTTTCATAAATCCATATTTAATATTTTCAAATACGTTTTTTGTAAGGTTAACGCTCACATGTTTGCCTGTCATGCCAGCTGCACGAATCGTTTCATCGTATCCAAGATACAAGCCAGTGTGAATGTTGTTACTAAATATACAATGTTTAACGCTCACGTCACGGCCATCTGGGGTTATTTTAAATGTATCGTTGTCAAATATAGAGTGCATCACAGATATGGTTGAAGCTCCTCCAATAATAGATGAACAGTTGTTTTGATGGACTGGATATGACCGTCGTTGTTTGCAATTGCCAGAAAGTACCACGTTCGCAATTGCAACGTGTTTACTTGGTTCAACGATGAAAACTCCACCGTGGCCGTTATCTCTAAAGTTGGATGACTGGATTGTAATGTCTTCTTGCATGACATCTTCTACAAAATTAAAACCATGAAAAATCTTTAAAATGTATATATTTATCGAACTTTGTCTCTTTTTTTAGTTTTTATGGTTTCTTTATTTTACTTTACAATATGATCTACAAATGACAGGGCCGAGGCTGAAATTCAGCATTATTGGCCCTGTTAGTACAAAGTTTATTAAAAAAAATAGCAACAAAAATGACTACCAACATGTATGTATGCATGGAACAGGATCTTAAGAGGTTCTGGACAAATCATTTGTTTCTGGACTTGTCATATTTTTTTTTCAACGAAATCACATCCAAGGGTTGAATTTTTATTAGCTATTTAGAGAGTGAGTCCTGCCTAGTATTAATTTCAATAAAAAAGTTAAAATAGAACCCTATTTGAGAGTCAATCTAATACTTACATTACATTGATAAATTAAGGCAAATCCTGAAATATTTTTAAAGTGCATTTTTTAATGAAATATTATCCAGCAAGTATTTAAATGAAACGGTCTTATTTAAATACAAATCATAACATGATATTTTTCATGAAACATTTTTCAATGAAATTCAATTGAAGGGTCAAGATAAAACGAGCTAATTTAGGTGAAAACCCTTACATGATGATGTGTTTTCATAACTTCTTTCATAAAATTCCATCAAGGGGTGAAGATAAAATGATCGAATTTAAGTGATTTAAGGATCACGAGAATATGTTTTCTTTGATATTTTCTATGAAATCCCATCCAATGGTCAAGGTAAAATTTTGATTTTGATTTTGATTTGGTCACGTGTTCGAAAGATCCATATAAGGCCCATAGAACCATATAGGAACGTCATTTTGAATGTCACGTGATAGATCCATATAAGGCTTTTAGAACCATTTATGGAAAGATGAGGGGAAGCCCCTGACACCTGTTTCACGATTTTTATGCACTTCATTATTGTACCGAAGTTTGCCGATTCGATTCGTCGTATTTCGGAATCCTGGTGACAATTTTATACTCCATTGGAGTATTTTTGACCTACTTCTTATGACGGAAATTCCCGAACCTTGTTCGGATTAATCCGGATTTTCTGACCTACCTTATCTACCGAGATTTCACGAGTTAACATTCGTCTCATTCTGGAATCCTGGTGACAATTTTATACTCCATTGGAGTATTTTTGATCTACTTTTTCTGGATTTTGCCCTACTTATTATATCTTGACAACAAGCAAATCAAAAAGTTCGACATGAACGGGTCTCGATCAACTAACCTAGACTATGGAAGCCTGGCACGCTAACCATTAGGCCAACGAGCTACCGATATGAAAGAACAAAAGTATTATATATTTATACCGAGCGTCAATTCAAAATGATCCTCACTTTTGTCTCCACTTAAATACGACTCGTCAGTTGTATCCAGAATAGTAGAACGCCTATGGCGCTAGTGAATAACCAAGTCCCAGGTTAGTGGTTCGTATCCCTCCGTGATATACTATTTTTGTTTTATTAAATACGACAGAAAGGAGCAAGGTGTAGGTTGAAAACAAGACGTTGGTTTGTTTCAAAACAGTTTGGAAACATTAATCTCTGATAATTTAAGGTTTTCCACTCCTGAAGGGCCTCTAGATCTATGAAATTCAATAATCCAGTCAGTAAAAATACGATTTCTCTGCAACCTGATGTCCAATCAAGATCATTCAAATATATATGTGTTCCTGACACGACGTTTGGGCGTCCGGGAATAAAATTGCTTGTGAAAACTATTTACAAAAGTGTTCCAGAGACCCTTATCTACTTGGCTAAGGTTTTATTTGAAGATACATTGCCTTATTAGCAGGTAGAGGGGCATACAGAACACAGAAGCAAATGCTATGTTGAAAATTTTCTATATTTCAATTTGAAACCTGTGTTTACATGTCACGTAGGCCAGTGTTTTATATGGGGATTATATGTACTTTCCTTGTTTACATGAACGTAAATCATTACATGAAATCTGCATTCTTCTGGGTTTAATCTGGGTTTGTATTGTCTTATTGGGGCTTTTCGACTTTAAAACAAACCCTACCTAAATGGATTGTGTCTCAGGAACGTTTTTGTAAATAGTTATTATAAACAATTCTGAAAGAATATCACATATTTTTGTCTTCCCGATTTCAGTCATGAATTACGTCAATTTCTCGTGCAAACATTGGGTAGACGTTGTCATAACCGGATGCCCGAACGTGTCAGGAACATATAGATACTCGAATGATGTTGATTGAACATCAGGGTTGAGAGAAATCGTAATTTTACTGAGTGGCTTCACGAAAAAATAAGCAGCACTTTAGGCCACCTAAATACAACTCGTCAGTTGTATCCAGTTGGAATCCCAGCGTAATGTTTTTAATTATATGGTTGTGCTTTGATTTTACGCTGAAAACATTTATAACTACGTCAACTTTATGCTAAAACATTTATTATCTTTTCAGTTGTATTAAAATGTAAAATATGATATATGTCAGCTTATTGCTTTCTGGAGAACAGTCAAGGTTTAAATTTGGTACAATGAATCGGACACTCATGTAAATCGACATGGTTATAACATTGAACTCAATGCAGTAAATTAGTTATTTTTATGAATCACAGCGGGATTGGTTTCATTTTATATGATTGCCAACTCTGGCGTTTTTTTTGTAAATGCTTTTGGCCGCTGTAAATGTGAAACTGATACAGTATTATTCAATTGTTTTATGTCTTGGTCACATTTGCTCCGATTTTCACTACGGCGACCGGCCGATTGAGTATTGTGTTCAGAAATGTATTCAATTTTGAACAAAATACTCGCAGCAAATGTGATCCAGGCATTACACAGCGGTATTTCGAACATACTATTGTTGCTTAACCACGACCTAGCCAATTTTAAAATCATACTCCTTATTTAAATCCAAGTAAACGATCAATGTCTAGGTATTTGGCGTTTGATGATACTATGGCCCTTGGCGAATTATGATTAGATGAACCGAGGTCAACATTAATGTTTCTTGTACAAGGTCATCCCAAGGTCTAAGATAAATATTTAGGTATTTTACGTTTCAAGACCTTTGGACAAATTCGATTCAACGATGTATTAAAGTTAAAATGTATACAGAGATAAAATAGGTTATCTCCTATCGTTTCCTTGTGTATACGTTTATGTCTCTGCGTAATAACGCAGATGCGAGCAGGTAGTTACCAATCTCACCACAAGGTGGCTCGTTCGGGTCAGATGGCATGGCGGGTATGGTAGAAAGTTCCCTTTAACTTAAGGTGCTATGGAAGTTAACAGGAAATGACAAAACAGGAAGTGACAATTTTTTTTGCTTTTTTAGATATTTTTTGAATAAAGATAACAGAGTTCTGGTTTGACCTCCAGTCAATTTAAGTATTTCCACATTTCATTTACATGACCAGGATCACAATGTGCATGGTCAGAATGACCCTAAACATGATGAAATAACCTTTTTAGCCCTTTGAAAGTGTGACTGAAAAAAGCTAAAAGTAGGAGCGTAGGGATAGTCACTGAACAGAATCTTTTGAATTTTTCAGAAAATGTGCCCAATATAATGCTCTAACTAGTACAATCTTTGAAATTTTAGAAAATTGTCTTAAACAAAAATGGCGGTCATAAAAAGGAAAATAGATCGCTTTTCAAATCAGTTTTTTCATTTTCTTTTCTTTTTCTATGAATGATATCAAATTTTGAAAGATTGTATCATTTAGAGCAATATATTGGGCACATTTTCTGAAAAATTCAAAAGATTCTGTTCAGTGACCTTCCCTACGCTCCTACTTTTAGCTTTTTTCAGTCACACTTTCAAAGGGCTAAAAAGGTTATTTCATCATGTTTAGGGTCATTCTGACCATGCACATTGTGATCCTGGTCATGTAAATGATATGTGGAAATAGTTAAATTGACTGGAGGTCAAACCAGAACTCTGTTATCTTTATTCAAAAAATATCTAAAGATGCAAAAAAAATTGTCACTTCCTGTTTTGTCATTTCCTGTTAACTTCCATAGCACCTTAAAGTACATCTGTTTTCGTGGTTCAATTTTCATATCACCCTTAAAATGTATCTAATAGCAATGCAATTAAAATATGTCCAGTGAACGAAAATGCAATACAAGAATAGATATTTCACTTTTTGTGATTTTGTAACAATGGGGTTATTTTTTGTATATGTAACATGGTCATTTTCACATTTTATATTATTACTGTTCATATTAATCTATCCCTATTCATCTCAATATAACAGGTCCCTAAGTAGGTTGTTTGCAGTTTTACTCTTTTAATTCCATGTTCACTTTTCACCTTGAGTTATTCAACTATGCAAACTGTGTCAGTTTTATATATCTATTGTTCCCCTATATGGTCTTTCTCACTCACATGTAGCTGAGTTTGCATTGGGTGTTGGCTTGTCAGTAGTTGCTGTAAGAGTTCATGTTGTACATTACAGAGCATTGTATTTTAAACATTGAAGTTTGAAATATACTATTTTATATATATTTTAATTCGAAGTTCGAGTTATTTTATTGCCACCCACGGGCCTTCCACACGCCCATTTACATATAACGCTTTGAAACAACTTTAAAAAGTGAGCAATGTCAGTGTTGTGATAATAGAGAATTTTCGTTATAAGTTGTTTCAAAAACGTATACGTATACTTATAGTTTAAAGGGTCTTGTCGAACTAAAATCAATTCAAATTGATTTTCATAATCTGTACCAAGTGGGGCATAACTATTCCCGATATAGTCAAGCTTCATCATCAACTAGGGACTGCGAATACAATGTCCTTTGCTAGTGTCAATTATGAACATGATAAACTAAATTCTAGTTGACGGGTCCTTGTAGTGTACGATAAACAAGATCCTTTAAAGTGAATCACTACACGAACGAGTCGATCATTTCAAAGTTCTCATGAAATTATAAGGTCAATTTTTAAGTTTTTACGTATAAAAGGGCCTTTATACACAGATTATAAACTTACAGAGTTGGATCTCCGCATAGTATATGTGTGG